AGATTATCATATCATTGATATTTTCTAGCCCAAAAAAGGAAAAATTGAAGGATTAACGTGTGCAGTTGTAAAAAATTACTTCTTTAAGGCGCAGAAATTGTTTTATTTGAGTAATTTGAAAATATGAAAAAAACTGCAGAATGAGAAATAATTTGAGTAATGGATCCTTCAAGATTAGTCCGTCACAGACGCCCACACCTTCATGTGCGCAAAAAATCAGGAAAAAGTGGACTGATAGTGTGTAAAACGTTTTAAAAAACCTTGAAACGAATAATGCGGGGAAAAGGCGGTAAGCAAAAGCAAAAAAACCGGTAGAAAAGTGAGATAGACCCTAGAATGATTGTAGTAAGGGTGATTTTGGCTTAGTAGATCGAATCTGCCATCATCTGGAGATTGTGCCTTGTAACTGCATCCGTTGTCACCAGCGAAAAGTTTAGTCAGAGCTGAGTCACTTATGTGCTTTACATTGTAATAAAACATGTGAGTGAAAAAAATGTGGTTTTCCAGCTGCCGGGTCCAAATAAAGTTAATCTACACAACTTAGGTTTTCACGCGTACGTGCATTAGGATCAAAATCTATGAACGTAAAAAAATGTATAGAAAGAAATTGCAAATTCCTAATGGAATTATACAATTCTTGGCACATTATTCCTTTTCTGTCGCAGTATTGGGTGGGGCAATCAAATGGCAGAAGAGAATTGCAGTAGACTCTATATGACCTTAAATCTCGAATTAGAAGTGCATGACAGGTGATAGATGGTTGTTCGGCAAAGATTGGCAATCAGACGATACTTGAGAAGTGGTCAGACAACGAATAAGAAATATCTCGAAGTTTCAACTGAGTGGATACTTGAAATATTTTCAAGCTCTTTGTTTTATGGCCTTGTCTAATTGCAATGGAGCTTTGAACATTAAAGAGCGGACAAAGCTGAAAGGTAGAAGACTTCACAGAATCATAAAATTTACAAATAGGAAAGTTCTTAGAAGACGTTTTCCATATAATATTGATCAATAAAAGTCTAAAATCACAAAATGTAATCTATTATTGTGTATCGCGGCAATCTCTAGTTTTTTTAAAGGTTTTCTGAAAAATTACCCTACCAAGCGGTTTAAATCAATCAAATTATGTAGTTTCAAACATCTCTGAATATTGATAGAATTCAAAAATGTTTAGCAGTCAATGCCAAATCGTAATAAATTAACATAACTTTGAGAACGTAAGCTCAATTATTTTGTGCGTTTAATAATAGGCCATATATGCATACAATTAAATTACGAAATTATATAGTCAGAACTAGGAAAAAGTGACATACAGTTATAGATAACCGTGTAAAGCAAGCACTCGAATGTTATTTGATAAACGAATTACTATGTACTATTTAAATAAATAATTTTTTTTTCCAAAATCTTTCCCGTTTCTACAGTAGTTGTTAAAGAAGTGCAGTGATACCGAC